AAAAGCATCCAAATTATCTTCACTTCTAAATCCAGTCAATTATCAAACTGAACAAACATAATCAACTAATGTCATATTAGATAACTATTTCGTGCCTGACATAGTTGAATGCTACCATCTACTGTTTTTTACTTAAGACTTAAAGTTAACCTATTCACTGAAAGATCTGAAAATCTTAGGTTTGATAAAAAAACAGAATTGTGATTGGGCACTGTTGCTTAGTGGTAACCTAGGACTGAAACATCAGCTTCCTGTTCCTAGATTTTCAATGGGTTTTCGGTCGATATCAGTTCATGATGTGAACCACTACGAAACGTTTACTAAAACTAATGTTTTTCTAATTATTCTACCAACAAATCATTGTAATTTCAGAATAAACAATTTTTTTTTAAAAAACTTACTAGTCGTTGTTGTAAACGCTAAGTTCGATTCTATTGAATCACTATTTCCATTTACTGTAGGATCAAGCCAATATATACATGAATATTCAGCAAGACGATTAGCACAATAAGTTAATAGATCTTTTTCAAAGTAACCAGTTCTTATAAATTGAAATAAACTCATATTTAATGTTAAAGGTTTGATTATTTGTGGACCATCTTGAGCCATATTTATACCACCAGCTTTAATTCGTGCACTTCCTCTGACCATTTTATTTTGATATACAATTATTAATAATTATATTATGTAATATGAGAAAAAAGATAACTCCTCTAATTTAATTTTCATAAAAGTAGATTTATCATGTTCATCTTAAACTGTTGAATAATTTTTTTTATTCTTTTATCAAAGTATATTTTTATTTGATGATCAAAGTATTTAAATAATCTTCAAATTAAATTTTGATTGGTTAATAAATTGTTTTTTTCGAAACAGGGGGTTAGATAGACAAACACACACACATTAAACATATAATATCCATTTTTTTGGTGTTTGTTTACAATGCTTTGATTTTTAACTGACCAATTAGAAAGTTCTACTAGCAATGAGACATTAGTCAATTTGTAGTCATAGTAATAAGAACTTTTATCCAAATGTGGTTATCTTTAAAACATAATGAGAAAATTAGTTTATTTAAATGAAATTCTCTTAAAATCTAGCAGATCATTTGAACTACCATAACATAAATGGATGATTATTATTAGAAGGGGATTTTTATGGATATTTTAGTAATTTTAATAGTTAAAATCATGAGTCAATTGAAGCTAGACCACCATAGAAAATTTGGAAGTAGTATGCACATTGCTGAGGATTCCTATACCAGGACGAAACAGTCGTCCAGTTCTTCCACATTTTCCAGTGGTCTAACTTCAATTGACTCATGAATTCAACTATAAAATTAATAAAAGGATAAGTTAAAATGATCTTAGTTAAAAATAAAATTATAAGTAAAAGGTTTAACTAGGAGTTGAAATTCCTTTTCTCTACATCTACCATGATAGTAAACTGTATTCTTAATGTGATTCATAATACTAAATTTTAGTTTACATAGAGTACCGATTGTTCTTATTTTACCAAAACAGAAGGAAAGTGTTAAAAGAGGGTGACTTTAAAAAAATAGCAGTAGGTCTGAAACTAATACATCTAGAACTACCGACAAAATAACCCAGTGTGACTGGTCTATAATAAAAAATCCGAAAGATGGAAATATATGTTGTTGACTTCCCATTGTTTTTATGTATCCCTTCACTGAATCCAACTCAGATGGAGTGAAGATGAGTTTTACAAGAAGATTTCCTACCTCCTCTAGATAACCAAGTGCTTAGTTATAATAATCCTGGTAAGTAATCTCAGAAACCGAGTTGATAGATCAAATCAAGCTGAAAAACGACTAGATGGATCCTTTACCATCCCTGGACATAAAATGGTGACCAATTCCAGAACGAGCAGTTCCATGAGTTTTACTGGACATAAAAATATTACGACAGAAGAGTCCCTTAGATATTAATTCGAATATGCGAAGGTCGAGAATGAATACAGTGATGAATCAACTAAGAATTCAGTCCACTACGAAGATGAAGCTTAGCATGTTACGCAAACAGTGATATCTACGACTGAGTCAGATACAAAGGTTAGAAAAGCCTACTGGATTAAGTGGTATCTACTAAATTGGTAGATGCTCAAAAATCCATCCCAACAGGCTTGCAAAATGAAGAGCGATGGTAACTCAAATGTAGATTAATGAAAAGTTTACGTAATGACAGTGAACAGTAGTGAGTGACGAAAGAAAAATACATCTAAAAGGCAGGGGCAATACGTTGCAACAAACAAATGTTTAAACTCGTGAATGAAACTGGCATTAAGAAATCAGGTATTAGCGAGACTGTTACGGAAGAAGATAGAGCAATTATCTATTCTCAATCCAAGGAATTTAAAAGATCAATAAGACACTAAGGGATGGCTGAACTATGTGCTACGTGCTATTTCGTAACTACTTAAGTATGGAATCGACACAAGTCTCCAATTCCTAGTAAACATAGAGACCATACCTAACTTGAATTAAAGAAATGCAGCAGAATGCAATGTACTAACTCCACTTGTTTTCAGAATGCCGGTTCAGTTTTGGCAGTATAGCCAGAGCTTGAGTAAATTTCGACCAATAAGTCCTATAATAGAACTCCATCCCGCCTACTTCCGTTTAGACAACCGCGTAATATCGTTAGCTCTAAAAGTGTGGCTTATACTCAAGTACTGGTGAATGAGTTAATTAAATTTAAAGAAAGTTTGTGAATTGTATTTAACCCCACTTGACCGCGCTTAATCTCTGACAGTCCTAGATTTTAAGAAAGCACTAAGATTCACTCATGACAATGTTAGAGGGAATCTATTTGATGAATATAGTACCTAAAATATCAGCCTCTATAATTATCTAATGCCTAGAAAAACCAATCTGCTCTCTGTCCTGGACGTAGATGTACTGATCAAATATTCACACTTCCTCAGCATACAGAATACAAGGATACTTACCAGCTTCCAACTAAAATTGTATTTTTGGCCGTAAGACGGAATTTGACTTCGTTAACCGAGAGGTTTTGTGACAGTGTTGTCATTAAAGTGTACCAAAACAATATATCAATCTTGTGAAGGTTCTCTACTCTAACACTATTGGTTAAAATGAAGCCTATGGAAAACTATCACCAGAATTGATAATATAAAGTGACATTCTTCAAGACAGTCTTCTAGCTCCTCCATCACAGATATCCTCATAGAAATATTACTTTCTTCATATAACTTTCAGGGGCTTGATTTCAACCAGGAGGTTTAATTATCGTAATGAAGTACGCAGACATTGCCTTATTTGATGAAAGCACTGACCCAGTGTAGTCACCTGAACACCTTGAATAACAGTGTAACCATATTTGATGTGTTTCTCTCCTTGCGGTGCGTTGACCACTCCACTTTTCTTGGAAGTCTAATCACTGCTAGTAGGTGAGTGGTTGATGGAATGTCGGCACAGATTCAGAATGCCTGGTAAACGTTTTCCAGGATGCATCGCAGAAAGGTGTTTCCTTCAGACAACCAGCGTAACAGAGATGCTGTCTTACCACAAGGAGAGGTGGGGTTAGAAAAGGTCGACCGTAAGAATATACATCTCGCCTTATCCTACTGATATCCGTCTCCTGTGGTAAGGTTCCAAAAAATACAGAGCTAACACGAAAATTACTCGCAAAAAAGTCGTGTGTGACCGACCTCAAGCAGCTGTCCCATGGGCACTGCGGTCACGCTCTCAGGTCACTATGAACAACTCTAATCCAATTTCCTTTTCAAGTACCTCCAGAAGAACCTTTCCACGGTGTGGGCAACCGGGAAGTGGTAAATGCCCTCATACATCTGACAACACTCAAGACCACTGCATTCCAAATCAACCTCCCTCTTCAAATCCTATCATTCCTCCTACACCAAACTTCTTCTTTTGGTTTCCTCCTCAAGTGTCACCATAGCCAACGATTCTAGTGCGCAAAACACTGTCCCAGGTCTACTGAAACCTCGCTCCAAAATACACATTGGCTCCGGAGATCTTTAAGGATGGTGGTCCAATTTTAGCGATTAGGTTGACTAATATTTTATCGGCGTCCGGCATTGATGGTCTTTCTTGAATTAAAAGCAGCATTTGACCCCGTAGACCGCGAGATTCTGTGGCAGTGTCTGTCATTGAAAAGCGTACCTCAGAAGTACATAAACTTTGTGAGGGCTCTTTACTCGAACACTACTAGTCGAGTCAGAGCTTATGGCGAACTGTCAACTGCTTTTGCGACCTCAAGTGGGGTCCGTCAAGGCTATCCACTATCTACATTTTCGTTCAACTTCATCATAGATCTACTGATGGAAATAACACTCTCATCGACTGAATTCTCGGGCATCGATCTCCTACCAGGAGGTCCACTTATTGACTTAGAATACGCAGATCACATAGTCCTGTTTGGTGAAGACGCTGATGAAATGCAGAGTCTTTTGGTAGCACTGAGCAACAATGCCAGGATGTTTGAGATGCGCTCCACTCCCTATAAATACAAGTTGTTGCTTCAGGACTGGTCTGCGTCAGCACCTGAACTAAGGATAGGGAGTGAGGTAGTCGAACGCTTCAACAACTTTACTTATCTTGGAAGTCTGATCAGCCCTAATGGGTTGGTGTTTGACAAAATCTCTACACGGATCCAGAAAGTTCGTTTGACTTTTGTCAACTTACGTCACCTATGGCGAAGGTGAGATATCCGTCAATCAATTAAGGGACGAGTATACTGCGCAGCAGTTTGTTCTGTTCTACTATAAGGCTGAGGCTATTAATGCGAACCAACTAAAAAACAGTATTCTCCTTTCATATCAAGTTCTCTAAAATGAGAAAATGCTGATAAGTGGCACCGACCAACACATAAGCAATTTAAGAACCAGCTACACAACTTCGGTCGATCAACCATTATCATACGCAGCCTATTATCAATATCATAAATGACCAGTCAAAGTAATATATTACTAGTTACTTAGCTAGTTAGCAAATTTTACTGGTTAGTCATATATAATGATCATTAATTAAGAGAAAAAAATCCCAGTGATCTAAGAACTCGATTTTTAAAAGGTACATAACCAATGTTTGAAGCAGTTCTCTTTGTTAACAATGCTTTGATAGCCAGGAGGTCAGTAACTATTACAACACAAAAAACGTAACTCATAGCCTAATTAGATGAAGCCGTACGTGTTAACAGAACCAGATTGACTACAGATCATCTTGACGAAGCAAACGTGGAAGGAATTCAAAGTTTGGAGAGATAACAGAATTGAATGGTTGAAGTGATCAATAGCAACCCAATAACATCAGAGTTGGACAAAAACTCATATGCACATATAGAATTCAACATCAATTAATTATTTATTTACATGTAATAATCGGTACATCAATTTAACTATTCTTTTAGTTTTTTTTTCTTTTTGTTTTTCATACACTTAGTTGTGTTCTCCTCAGATATACTATGTTTTCGTTTTTTGCTGATGGTAATACCATTTGTCAAATTACTATAATTAATAGGCAAGTCAATAAATTTCTTGGCCCATATAGACAATAAATTTACCAATGAACAATCATTATATACAAGAGGTAAATCAGATGGTTTATCACAAACCAAATCAGTAAGTTGACAGCCGTCTGCATGTTGAGTTAAACCATCCAACAAATCAGAATTGAATATTGATTGGACTAATGTAACTCGATCTTTTGAACTGATTGTTTGGATGAAATGTGGACGCCATCGTAGAGCTATCCAATTACCGCCATGACGATCCCAACGGATTTCAAAAAACCTGCCTAGACGTAACTTGACGAAGTAAACAAATAGTATAAAACATTATCGAAATATTGAACATTCAGCGTCAAAATAATCTTAAAATACCGAATTATGTCGAAAGATAAAATACTTCATAAGTTCGTTTTACTAGCAAATAATCATACACAACAGTCTAAGGTACTAGAACCCAAATAAGAACAGAAATCGAAGGAGTTGCTGAACTGATTAGGTTTTTATTGTCCTGCTGTTAATATTAAGGAAAGAAAATGATCAGTTTATTTTGGCATATGTGGATACTGAGCGAACTGTGATATCATGGGCAAGAGCTAAGCCAAACAGTTACGTTTCAATTCATTGGAAAGTAAGCGGCCTACAAAGTTGATATTGACCAACAATTCTTGACATCTGATTATTTTTTTTTCTGACAAAAAACCTATTCTTCCAGCTAGTAATTGTCTTTGATATTGTTTCATTCGGGGATTTCAATCAAGAACATGGTCTCACAAACAGTCATTACTCGACCACTTTAAATAAATGTTTTATTTACTAATCTGCAATTTGATCACTCAAGGTAACAAATTAAAATCAGATCATAAAATTATAAAATCCTCCTTGATAAAAGATTGCTTCGACATTATTTCGTAGTCATAATTTGTTAATATATTAAGATTGTGGCTAACAGTGGAAATCAGAATACACTTCCCATTCCATTCGGCATATACCTGCACCTTGATACTGACGACGTTCACGCTAGAGGCTCGAACTCAGTACCACCACTTTAAACATTTAAGTATTACCACTAAGCTTTTCAGTTCAAGTGGCTACTAACTTATTCGCTTAGTATGGAGTTATTTGTGAGAGCTTGTAATTTCCTATTAGCGTTTGAGACCCGAACCCAGTACTTATTGCTTCAGTGTTAACACCAACCTTAAGGTACAGCTACGCCCAGATGACGATTCTTGGATAAGAGGAAACCCATGTCCTGGATCCCACTGCTAGCCGCAATCCAAATATGCTAAAAGGTGATTAATTTTTTAAGTGAAAGTGATTACATTACTAGGTGCACGAATTGTAGTGTTGTAAATCTGTTACTACAAACTAATTGCGTAACGTTGAACCTGAATTTTTTTGTACAGCACTTTTACAATTTAAGAGATGAATATCAATGAAAATAATGCTAATTTCTAACAAGGATTATAGGTAAACAAGTGACCACTTCTAATCGACAAGCCATATTATTTTACCTTTAGGCTTACGGAAAGACAATGGCGTATCCGATTCAAGTGTCAAGCTTTTTGGACACTAATGGATGAAAACCAGTCAAAAGAACAAAACATTAAAAAGTAAATACGCAGAGATCAAACCTGTATTGTCCGCGACTAATTACCGATTTCTATATATTGTAAACCATAACTATTAAACATACAGTTCCCTTAAACAAAATAGACGAACTCTTGGTAACTATGCATGAATGCTGTTTGTCAGAGTATCTCAAAAGACTTTTCTAAATAACGGGCAAATCGTATGATGAAGTATATGACAGGTTTGTGGGAACATCGCGTAACTTAATTAGTTCAGTTTTGAAAGTTTTGAGCTTACATTTAATGATGCATCAACCTCAACAACATTTACATCACGAATCCTAACATACATACACATGAGAAATACTGTGAAATTGTAAATAATCAGTCAACACGATCAAATATGACGGTTAGTACAAATGTTGTTGCCTAAACTCCTACTGACTAAAAAATCTAATAATAATGGCAAAGATTTTCAGCAAATTCATAGAACAAATAAGAATTAGCCCGATATTTGGTCCTTAGACGTTGAGAACAGTACGCTCAACCCAGTGATTAGAATTCTAGACCACAATAAACTAACAGCATACACAAAGCGACGTAGCTACACTTCATGTATCACTGCTACGACAAAACTGTAGGCTTACTCCATCCAGGTTCCAAATCCTTAAGGTGTCCTTAGATTATGTATAAATCCATGTTTCAGAGAAAAAGACTGACGATTAGGAAATTCCGATGCTTCAAAACAAGGAACATTCATCAACCGGGTTTTCGCTTGTTATCGGACTGAAAACCTAATGGATTACTGACGATGAGATGTTTAGCATTACTGAACTTTACTAGTTTGAAATGACAGAATTTAGACAACGTTAACTAAATAACAAGAAAAATCAAGTAATAACATTATTGCTTACACGCAATAATTTGACAAACCAATTCAGTGGATCATAACAGTATCTTTGTGGCCAATAACGAGCTCCAGGATCTGGGAATTCCATAGGTACGTCACTATCATTATTAGTTTCAGGAACAACAAGATGCGTTTTTTTCAACGCTCCAAGTAACGATTCTGATTGACGAATATTTACAATATTTGCTTTGACATTGAGTACTATATCAATTTTACTAAAGACCGGACGAAAAATGACCTGGATCAATAAGAAATCAAATTCAATCAATCGTTTGAACTCGCAATCATCTTGAAAAGTACTGTACATTACAAGTTTGTGTTTAGTTCCTTGGAGTGAATCCCGTATTATAGTTAAAAAATGTTGTTTAACAACTTTAGCTTACTTTCAAAGTCCTAGAAGGTAGGACATGCATCATAATACGGTGCCCAGACCAAATACCGGACACATACTGTAAATATATATCTCTGAACATACGAAACTACCGAATAACTACTAATGCACAAAATAAGTCAGCCGTTCGTACTTTATTGATTCTCCTTTCTAGATCAGCTGGAGTAATGTAACATACCCCAGTGAACGTCGATTCACGGAAAAACACTTTGCAATCTAGTTGTCCCAGAAAATACAGATAATCAGCACATACAGTGTGAGGCTTTTCTATTGTTGGAGCCATACAAGGGCTGCCCATTCCGATCCAAGATTTCCGTGAATGTGTATGTCTGATGTATCTATTTACAAACCCAATGGATGCCCATTAATATTAAGGGTAATAAATTTTCTTTCACCTGGGGTTGAGCTTTGACAGAATGGTAATAGGCTCAACGAATTTGTGTAGGATATGGAAACAGGCTTTATAGTACTTATGGACCGATTTAGTTTCCTCTTATGACGAAATCCATCTTTGTGTCCAACAGATTTACATTTCCAGCAACGATGTTATTTAAACAGACAGGTTCGTATATAATGCCATGCACCACAGTGCCAGCAGGGAGCGACCGCTGTTGCTACCTTGACGTGTTGGTCAGACTTGCCTATCGTGATGAAGCAACTGAGCTATACTGGTTGGAACAATCGTTTCTCAAGGTCCTACCATGCCAGACAGGTCGGTTGAAGAAAGGTAAGACTAAAAGCAACAAATTCAAGGTCCGAAGGCGAAGTCGTACTGCTGACTGTACAAAGGTGTAACAGCAGTAAGGTGTTTCCTTCAGACAACCAGCGTAACAGCGATGCTGCCTTCCAACAAGGAGAGGTGGGGTTAGAAAAGGTCGACCCTAAAAATGCACACCTCGCCTTATCCCGCGGATATCCGTCTCCGGCGATAAGGTCTCAATAAGTAGGAGCTAACGCGAAAATTATTTCTACATCGACTTCCTACACCAAACTTCTTCTTTTGGTTTCCTCCTCAAGTGTCACCATAGCCAACGATTCTAGTGCGCAAAACACTGTCCCAGGTCTACTGAAACCTCGCTCCAAAATACACATTGGCTCCGGAGATCTTTAAGGATGGTGGTCCAATTTTAGCGATTAGGTTGACTAATATTTTATCGGCGTCCGGCATTGGTGGTCTTTCTTGAATTAAAAGCAGCATTTGACCCCGTAGACCGCGAGATTCTGTGGCAGTGTCTGTCATTGAAAAGCGTACCTCAGAAGTACATAAACTTTGTGAGGGCTCTTTACTCGAACACTACTAGTCGAGTCAGAGCTTATGGCGAACTGTCAACTGCTTTTGCGACCTCAAGTGGGGTCCGTCAAGGCTATCCACTATCTACATTTTCGTTCAACTTCATCATAGATCTACTGATGGAAATAACACTCTCATCGACTGAATTCTCGGGCATCGATCTCCTACCAGGAGGTCCACTTATTGACTTAGAATACGCAGATCACATAGTCCTGTTTGGTGAAGACGCTGATGAAATGCAGAGTCTTTTGGTAGCACTGAGCAACAATGCCAGGATGTTTGAGATGCGCTCCACTCCCTATAAATACAAGTTGTTGCTTCAGGACTGGTCTGCGTCAGCACCTGAACTAAGGATAGGGAGTGAGGTAGTCGAACGCTTCAACAACTTTACTTATCTTGGAAGTCTGATCAGCCCTAATGGGTTGGTGTTTGACAAAATCTCTACACGGATCCAGAAAGTTCGTTTGACTTTTGTCAACTTACGTCACCTATGGCGAAGGTGAGATATCCGTCAATCAATTAAGGGACGAGTATACTGCGCAGCAGTTTGTTCTGTTCTACTTTACGGCTACGAAACATGGCATTTAAGAGTAGAAGATGCTCGTAAGTAACTGGTATTTGACCACAGATGTCTTAGAAATGTTACTCGCATCTTCTGGGATCACCGGGTAAGTAATAGTGAAGTTAGATGCTGGGTACTAGGAAATGACGGCAAATCAGTTGATGAGGTTATGAATCTTCATCGACTGAGATGGTTGGGCCACGTGCTGCGTATGCCTGAACATCGATTACCACGATGAGCAATGCTAACCGGTATTAGGGATAATTGGAAGAAAGTTAGCGGCGGCCAAACCAAAACATGGCATCAGTGCTTGAAGTTACTAACTTCTGGTCTTAGTCATGTTGGTAGATGCAGACTATCTGGTTGGGGTCTGTGTGACTATCGTAACCAATGGTTGGAGACTCTTGGTGACATGGCTCAGAATCGATCACAATGGTGTAGGTGTATACACTCTTTATCTTCCTTTAAACTAAGAGATTAAAATCGCTTCATATCTTTCTCTCTACTAACTAATTCTCTATTCCTGTACTACCTCCTTATATGCAATCTTTCTTCTATATATTACCACCACTGAATTAACTACTTCTATGAATCCGGTGTTCATCATGTTGTGCTAATGCGGTATGGCAACTTGGACCGATGCATATATGTGCCTGGTCGTACGTTGCAGCTGACTGTATTTATTTATTCATTTTAACACATAGATATTGGTACAAGGAGGCACCACATACATATGCGCCACACAGATATCAATTGATTTGTGTGAGGGCTGTGATACTGCCCGGGTGCCCAAACCGAAGCAGGTGGTTTCCTTAGGGGACCACTCCCCGAGCCTTCGACCTGAACGTCTGACCCAAAAGGCAGTGGAGCGTCGTAAGGAGATGCAGTTCCATGGTAGCCGGTGACCAACGATTGGTTCATACGCCATTTGTTTATTCAGGATACTGGAGCCCATGTGCACCATTGGTTTTGGATCCGGTTAAAGCGGCAGACATTCGCTTTTCGTCCTCTCATTTTCGTAAACAACAAAAGCAAAATACAGTAATAGGTCGTTAACCAAGTGATTTCTGGGGATCTAGCATCCCCAACAAATCTACAACCTGATAATTAATAATCAAAGTCCCAAATTACTGAGCACAGACCACCATTCGGTTGACTTATCGCTAATTTGGTCAAAATTGAAACTAACAAAGAACACTGGAATCATTCACCAAGATCGTTATCAAAACATAAAATAATAATAATAGGTTACTACTTACCAGTAGATCATTAATTGGAGCATTACTAACAAGCATAGCTCTTAGTAAATCACGTGACTGACCCGCTAGCAATTTCAAATCACTTAGACCTCCTCGACTTGGTCCTACCTCAGTCCATTCTGTTCCAGTTGTGTCAAGTGGAGTACATATGATTAAAGCGGGTAAATTACATCGAGGTGTACGATTAAATAAATCCAGAGCTAGTTGACGTTTGTTAATATCCACTTGGAAGATAAAGGATTGAAAAAAGAATGAACCACACTTATTAAAGAAAAAAAAGTGAAAACTCAGTGAAAAACAACTTATGAAAAGGGGAATAAAACAGGTGACAAAAGTTTTTATTATAAGTTATGCTACAATTCAATTGGCCATCACAATACGGCATCGACCCGAATTTACTAGTTTCTCAGAAACATTGACTACTCAACACTAAATTATCAGTGAATGTAAGATATGAAGTGTGAGAAGTAGTAGATCTGAATAATATTACAACCTTTGAAAACAATGAACTGTGTCCATCTTACATTAAAGGCTACATATTTTTAAGTGCTACAACCGACAAATTTCCTTTTAAAAAATAAAGAAACAACTTATTGAGTCATTAAAGAAGATGAAGAGTTTTCAGCGATTTTATTTTCATCGATATCATTCACTATAGCCCCACAAACGTATTTATAGTTACTTTTTAAATATAGTAATAATATAATAAAAATAGAGAATTATTGAGTTGATAGCAGAAGTACTAAAAGTCGGTGGGAATTTAAAGCTAGGTAGTAACCAAAGGGTAGTCAAAATGAAATAAAACATGAAAGATTAAGAAATGGTATCATCAAAAAGGAACTTATCGCTGAAACATTTTATTCGTGACTTAGATCGAAGACATAATTTACAGTTTTAACTTGGCGTCTACTTTATAACTGATTAAGTAACAAAAAAGACGAATTCTAGTAATTTTGGAGATAAGTGGCTTCGAATGAGACCTATCTGATGTCGAAAAACGTAAACAATCGGATTATAATGCAAAGGCTCAATATGAAACACTATAGTCAATCCCCTGACATCCGAAGACTACAACAATACAAACTGATAATGTTTAAATTGGAATCGATTTATGTGATCGTGACCTAGATTATGAATCTAAACACGTTGCTACATACCACCGTTTGGACAGCAAACTTTTGCTATGAACCTTGGCAAAACCTTGTGGATATCATTTATTAAATAATGTAATACAGTTGATTTTGTAAAAATATTAAACAAATTTGTCTTGAAATTATTCTTTTTGTAAGACAGGAGAACCGTTTGTAATATCTATCAAACAGTACACACATTTTTAACGATGAGAAACTGACTACCTTAATGCTAAAACTCCGAAGATTAAGAAGAAAAAGCATGAAAAGAATGAAGTGAAGACTAACCAGAAAATCCCTCATTTAAATCAACTAGAAGTGGAGCGTTTTCCCAATCATAAGTAGCCAATAAATCAAGAAATCGTAGGAATGCAGCAACAGGTGATCCGATCGAAGTAAGATTAGCTTCCTTCGACTCTGAATCAACAGAATCACACAGCTTCGAAGCATAAAGAACTAATAATTCAACAGCCACTTCAGTCATACGTCCATCATTGGTACTTGTATTGACATCTTTTAACCACCAAGTAGATAATGCAGACGAACATTGTTCAGATTGTGGATAAAAATCTGATGAATTGTGTAGACCATCTAGTTCCGCTTCATATGGACATAAAATCACTGGATACCCTTGAGCTGATAACCAACGTTTAGCTAACCGACATGCTATAGGAAACACGTGTGCATAAGTACGTGAAACACCACTTAGTGTACCAGCTAATGTTGGTAAACTTTGATTCAGACGAATCCAACACGCAGCTTCGGAATTCATTTCACCAGTCTCCAAAAGTGTTTTATTTTTATTATCTGCTTTGATTTCGGAATTACTTAATTTTTGAATTAAATTAAGTTCTTTTGATTGTGAAATTACAATTCGGAATACTAGTCCATGCTAAAAAATAAACAAATAGAAAATTTCATTTGTCATAAAATTGTTACGAAATCTATGCTATATTCAAAGAGTAATCTAAAGCGATAAATATTTATATACGTGGAAAACTATGTACGCATCGAATAAAAACCAGGTATACACAATACTTTCTGTTAAATCTAGTAAACATGAAGCTATAGTTACTCTGAAAGTAGTTTTCATTATAGAACAAGTAGAGAGTAAACGAAAAGATAGCACAGCTAGAAAAGAAGTCTGTTTGGAGATTTGCAGCTCAGGTATATGATTTTGGTGGAGTTTTGTTCTCTAAGCAGGATGCTTTTGTCATGGAGCTTTCATCGTTATTCTGAATGACATCAACACCTACAATCTGATCAACAACGTTTTTGATAACAGGAGTCAAACAATAAAATATCATTCTTGAATGTATTAATCTCCAGAATCGACACAGGAAAACTGGAGCCAACCCACACAGATCAAATTCTCAATTACGGTAGCAACAACCCAAGAGCTCATAAAATCAACTGACTACAAACTTTATTCAAGAGGGTGAGGACACATTGCAACACACTTGCGGCGCAGAAAAATGAAGATATCTAAAGACTGACTTCCAAAAAAGCGGTTACCTAATCAACTTCATCAAAAAATGCTAACCAAAAGCATCAGCAGAAACAAAATCAAGTAGCGAAACCAACAAAAGGATCATCCTACCATATGTAAAAGGCATTTCAGGAACTACGATGAGATTCTTGAAGCCTTTTGGGATAGGTGTAGCATACAAACCAAAAAAAATCACTCCAATCGATCCTACGTAAACCAAAAAACGAAATGACAAAAGAAGAAAAACTGAACTGCGTAAAACACTACATCGGATAAGGCGGCCACTCCCTTCACCTTCGCCTACATGAAAATCAATTATCGGCCACGGTATACGCTCGCTTACATCAATACATGTGGACAACTGTGGACACACATTCAACGGGGGAAATGTTGAAATCTTGGATAGAGGCAATTCTAAAAACACCAGAGAATTTTTAGAAGCTTGGCACTCAGATCAACCAGCAATCAACAAGCACAGTGAAATCAATCCAATTTATCAACCAGTCAGAAAAATTATGAAAAAATATAGGACCAAGAATCAAATCAACGGGAGATACAATCAAAATAAAGTAAACAATAACAGGTTAGTAGTCAACAATAACCAATCAAGATCGAAGTTTACCAGACAAGCTGTGAGCCATATATGGAGAAATTCGAGCACTTCACTTCAACCCGAAGTTTGTACTGATGATGTCGTCTAGAATAACGACGAAAACTCCATGACCAAACCATCCAGCTCAGAGAACAAAACTAGTGGTATTCTTTTAATAAAATAGAAACAACCCAATCGAATTTCTATCTACTTACTGCTGTTTATGCGTTGTCACACAGTATTATATGACTAACTGTTACACAGAAATTGTGACTTATAGCAGTGTCCAGAACCTGGACCTAATAACTGTGTTACATTAACATTTGATGCTAGTATGACAGAGCCTCAAGTTATCAATGGTGCTTACCACTACATTTAATTACGCGTATGATACTTAAGAAATTGGGGAAGTTAATTGGACTCCATTACTAACTCTAAAATAATACGTGAAGAATGAGCACCTAGTTTATTTTGTATTACAGAGACCGTTGGTCATGAGGTGTTGCCGAGATGACTTTTTTCCATAGAAAGATCATGTGGTAAAACTCTTTTAGCCTCGATAAAAATATTTTCCGTGGAATGGATTCACTGATTAATGAATTTCGCTACTTACCGATCCGTTAATCAGTACTTACTGAGCTAACTATGTTCTATATTGTTTAGTGCAGTAACTATAAACTTTTTGCAGTGGTCACTACTAATTATTGCTTCGTTTCTCTTACATTATCCGAATAGATTTATACATCATTTTGAACTTCCGTCTCAACTTCATGAAGATCTTTTTTTGTAACCACATTATTCTATGTAATTTCAAGATGTTTCCAACTTATAAGAATACTTGAAATAGTGACGCGGCTTATATAAACAAGTGTAATTACAATCGTTGAATAGACAGGGAGTAGATTTATGATCAATGACTAACTTCTACCTAATCGATAGTTTGTTAAATTCATAAACGTTTGTTGTTTTAGTGCAACTCTAAGATATTTCCACTGGACTGAATTGCTTAAAAATGATGACTATTACGAAATGGTCGAACAATTCCTTGAAATAATTGACGGCAAACTAAACTAAACCTATTTAAGCAAAGATGGATAGTGGCTAACAGTGGAATCCAGGGCGCGCGTTTCGTCCTACTTGGGACTCGTCAGCTGGATATACCTACATCGCAGAGTAGACGTTCACTACGGGACTCGATAACGCGATGGCGTTTGAAGCGAACGGTACTGGGTTTGAGTCCCGGAGTGAACATCAACTCTGAGATGTGGGTATATCCAGCTGACAAGTCCTAAATAGGACGAAACGCGCGTCGAACTGGGTTCCACTGTTAGCCACTATCCATCTTTGCTTAAAAAGCTTGCGACTCAAAACTATATCGATGCAGGATGCACATATGTCAACATGAGACCGATCAATTGTAGTTCTAAATAACAATGAGAAAATACAAATAAAACAACACCAAATCAATTTAAACTAAACCTATTTTGGAATTATATCACTGGCCATATATTAATATTGACTAACAACAATTCCGAAATCACAAGATCTTCTTGTAGAAAACAACTGACAGAAAGAGATCGATCAAGTACAATGACAGATATAATCCATGTTTGATAGAGAAAAGTTATGCATTCATTTAAGTTGGAAAGCAAATAATAATAATAATACAAATGGAAAAATACAGTAAAATTCTGATTTCATTATTAATTAACGCGTGACCCTGTATAAACACATCACTGACTTATAAAAGAAACATATAGAGTACAAGATAATAACCAAAATGTTGCCGAAAGTAATTAATCTATGCAATTAAAAATAACATTTTGATTGCCAATTATCAATAGGTGAATGTTTACTTTCACTAGAATCATAATTCTCTTAAGTTACTTGATGTGTCATCACCAATTGCAAAATCTTGGATAATTGAACAGAGATGATTACCGCAAAAGAAAATTAAAATTTTAATCCCATCTTCAACAACCTAAATGAGGAAGATTAAGTTCTCAAACTGTTAGTAAGACAGAATCCTAACTATTGAATGATCTGATCAGGATCAGATCGAAATACGTTGATTTGTTCATCTTCAACTAATCAGTGTGTGGCGCATATATATTTGGTGCCCCCCCCCTGTACCAATATTTATGTGTTCAAATAAATAAATAATAAACAACTAATCAGTGCTAATAGACGGATCGAGAATATAATGGAAGACTCTTATGCAAATCCTATGCGAAATCTAAGATTGTTATTACTGTCTTTATTGTTTTAGTTACTGGGGCATGTGCTCAATTCCCATTCTGATATGAATAAGTTCGAGTGAAGCATAGCATCTAACGATTACAAGACAGCAAAGTAACAGAAAAACCATTTGTGATATTTCATGCTTTATCGTAGACTGTGACTTGTCAGAAACAATGCAGCAGATCAGTGATAATGTCTGGATAGATTGCACGACATAGTGACTGTTTCCAAACTTGATAAGAGCATGGCTTTTATTGAAGTCTACAAACAGCTGACTAACTTGCACATATAAACACATATACAAGAGGACAAGATTCAAGTCCTCTTGGTTAACATGATCAACTTTGCGACAGTGAATGGCGATCATGTCAAAATATAAATTTACTTAAATTTTATACATAATTCAATAGAATTCAGCTCGTAAAAAGCACAGTGCAACCACGTCTTTTACTGTGAGTAGTGAGTATTTTATAAGCTGAAGAGTTGATTCAGCTTTTTTTTCCATTTCATTTTTTGAGTCTCCCATTATTTCTTATCGGCATCATCATAGTCGAGACAAATTTACTTAGATTGTTAACTTTATTCATTAGAAAATGTTTATACTACTCCACACTATACTTACTAAAAATATATCCAGCATATTATCGACGGTAACATGAGATGGAATTCCTTTAGGTGATAGTAATTCATGCATACGAATCACTAGTAATCGCTTCATATGTCTGAATGCATCTAAGTCGTTTGGCCACCTTCCAGATTGCTCCAAGTGAATTATGACTTAAAAAGGCAAAAAATGAACCGTTATCGATTTGGGATTTCATTAAGCAGTAACAAGTAATAATACAACTCAGTAAATGAGTTATAAATTGTGTTAATTACATAATGCCTGATAAACTTAAGTAGGGAGGATTGAGTTCGAAATCAGTGAATGGGAATTTTTCCCCAACAGGAGCCCGGCTAGTTATCACGTGATTTATTCGCCAATCAAAATATGACTTATTCAATATTAGTATTGTGCCAAACCAATGACGTTCGACCGTTATGAGCAGCCTAGCATCCTTATTGATCCTTCGTTTTCCTAGTCCTTCCAGTTGAGTCCGGAAGGTCAATAACCGCTTCCACTATGCGAACCATCTATTTCAAACATACTTGATTTATATACCAGCCAAACAGATTGCATTACATCATGAAACAGGAAATAACATTTATACAAGATCAAGCCAAAAGTGGATGTGAACGTGGGAGACTGTAATCAATAAACCGAACATTACTTAAGGACAGTAAGTCGTACAATAATAATCCATATCAAAATAAAGCTTATAATAAGAGGAATATAGATATACACAATCTAGTCACTGAATAGCTACACAATAAAAATATATATGAATATTAGTCCATTAATAGTTCTCATAAGTTACCCGTAGTTTAATCTTCACTACGATATAACAGAATGGATTCAGTTAAATCCTATTGAAACTCTACAGACAGTTAAATAAACCACTTCATAAAAAGCTCATAAAACAAGAACAATCTACGACTGATCCTGACACTTTAAATGCGGTGGTGGAAAAATAAGATTTGAGCGTGTTTTGGGGAGTTATTCTAACTATGTCCATTTATAAAAATGGTAAGCAACGAAAATAATAATCCCTCGAGTACTTTAATTTGGTTAAATGTAAGTGGGAAATAGCTATTTTAACCTAAAAATAATATATGCGGCAAATCAAGATGACAGCAAAACTAGTTATTTACCAATAAATTCTCATCCTCATTTGAGAAAATTTTTCGAACGTTTACCTATAGCCTGATTGTGTTTTTATTATATATATATATATATATATATATATATATATATATATATATATATATATATATATATATATATATATATATATATATATATATAATATTCAGTAACCTTGGTTTATCATTTATACGTTTAAGAATTTTCATAATAATGCATTGCAACCTGTTACTTCATCCGAAGTTGTTTGCAATAGCCTGAGTAAACATCTATATGCTTTTCATAAACAAAAAATGGAAATAAAATGAGTCTTTCCACGTCAAGACCGAAACTCGGTTGCTATAAACGGGAAGAAATGAACCCGATTATAATGCTTGAAGTTTATTACTTTGTAAATATGAAATCCACCCCCAAACGCCCTGGTACAGCTGATGATAGGGAGAGTTAGCTCTCTCTCGAAATGCTTTGACATGACCACGTGAATACAACCACTGCCAGGGAAGTCCTACTCTCTGCATTCTCGCAAAGGGGATGTTGTTTACGAAATTGAAAAGATGAAAAGCGAATGTTTGGTGCTTTAATCGGGTTGGTGGATAAGGAGGATCCGCCTAGGAGAGCTGAAAAACCCTCATTCCAAACCAATGGTGAACATGAACTCCAGAATCCTGAAAGAAAAAATGACGTATGAACCAATCGTTGGCCACCAGTTATCATGGAACGGAATCTTCTTACGTTGCTCTATTGCCCTGTGGATCATACCTTTAGGTCGAATGCTCCGGGTGTGGCCCCTTCAGAAAACCACTTGCTTTGGTTTGGGCACCCGGGCAGTATCACAGCCCACACACAAATCAAGCAACTTATGTGGCACATATGTATTCGGTACACCTTCGTACCAATATTTATGTGTTCAAATAAATAAAGAATATGAAATCCGAATCCAATAGTAATTGACATTTTCATGTTTACTCTGTTAAATATTCTGTATATAAGTATGTCATTTCATTGTATATATTCCTGACAAGTTGATCTCTCTTTCAATATTCGTTCATTGTGGGCTTGTGTCACTTATTCGGACTTGTGAATAATCATCACTTAGCCACAATAAAGTCAAGCGATTTGCAACTCACAAGTTTTTGTCCGTGAGAAGACTGACTAACTAGTCGACAATCAGATATTGTAATACTCTGACCACATGAGTTGCTATCATTGTATAGAAAGAAAAATTTAATGTTAACATTTTCCCTTTATTATTTGACAGAATGTGAGTAATATTTCAGTGGATCACTACGTGAATACCCGTACCTTAGTCATTTAGTCTGTTTTTAGTAGATAAGTGTTAAGACAGCATTGAAGTAAACTATTTCTAGTGGATATAACAATCGTATAAAAGGATATTTTGATTGGTATGTTCAGTTATTCATGTTCGAATGACTTAATCGGATGTCTAGTGAATAAAAATTAAAATAAGCACAAGACTATGTAGTATTACAAAAATTCCTGTTATAAAACTAAATGACACGAAACTACTCACCATACAATGGGAACACAGGAAAACATGCTTTTTTCAATAACCATTTAACCGTATGAAAATATGGCTTTTTTATTCCGTAATGTGATTGGTTAGCCATAGGAAAGGACAATATAGGAGGGAAAACCGAAGTGTCACGAAAAGCTGATGATAAAGGTAAAATTCCCGTAATATTAAGGGGAAGTTTATCATTTAATCCACGTAGTAATGCTCGGAGTTTATCCATTGCTCTAATCAGACGAAGAGGTGAGGCGGCAACTAAGTTGACTTTTCGGTTGCGTCTATGCAAGCTTATAAATGGATCAAGACGATTAGGCAAAAGGTGATACCACGGCTTTGATACGTTAACATTTGCAGACAAATGGAGTTTCCTAGAGCGAAAAATTAGATACAATATATAAAACACGAAAAAGAAGTTAAATAGATGAATTTATTACATGTAGGTGACTGCTAAAATTTCCAACAATGACAATTATATAAAACAAACTTCCTGGGTCGTTACATTAATTCTAATAATCGAACAACTTGGTAGGTTAGCTAATCAGTTTTATTTTTAACATTTTAATATAGCTTTAAACACAAAATAACCCTCGTAGGAACATAGATTGAGTTAGTTTAACTTCTCAATGCTTCAGTTTGATGAAAACCCTATAACATACCAACACCTTTACTTATTGCTGACTACTGGCTTTCGCACTAACCACTGTCGTTTAGCCACTCGAAGTCGAGTACAGGTCAATGTACTCGATAAATGGATTGCACACAATGCACACTACGGATTTGAAAACCGGATAGTATCATTAACCCTCACATCGAGAGTGTTGTTTATACTCAAGTACCTGGCGAATAAGTTAATTAACTATTATTCATCTATTTATAATAAAAACAAAGATCATCAAGCTTTGAATTTGAGGACTGAAGAAAGATGGATAAAAATTCATCCAAATAACAGCATCATAAGCACAAAATTAGACAGAACTGTACTATTAACCTTACACTAGATAGCAGAAAGCAGACAGTGGTCAAATCATAAGTTGTTTTAGTAAACGCATGAATCAAGTTGTGGTCAGTTTAATGCATATACAGTGCATGACTAGACATAGTTCTGTTGCAACACTGGAGTATTTTATGCTACAGCTTTCTAAACACTTAAATGTTATTTAGGTAGAGTAAGATAAATCGCTTACCAGTGTTTAGGAAACGATAGTGTTATCACGATTAACAATAAAAGACTGAGTGACTTGTGTCAGCCATACTTTATGACTTTTGTAAGAAGACTGTTAAGCGAATGAGATGATCGTAATCAGTGTTTTGACACTTTGAGTTACATGGCTTAGAATTCACCCCAACAGACCACGTGCATTTACTATCTTCCTTTATAGCACAGGTTTTACGATTATCTCGAGCTTTTTACTAGAGTACTTGAAAAGCTTAATGTTCCTTACCATCACTAGTAATACTACATTGACATTGGTCCTAATAATCTTATCTTGCTGTATTGATATGGTGTAGCAACCTAGACCCATATACATAAACGCCTGTCTCTACGTTGTTCATGTTTGGTTGAGCTAGTATCCAAATGGAATAAGAAACAGAACGGAAAAATCCGAATAATTTAGGTCACGATTGACTTTATTAAGCAAATGAAAATGGATTATGGAGGTGACAACTAGGTATCGAAGGTTCCCACATAGAAAAGCCTGGAAGGCCAGGACGGTTAGAATTAAAAATGGAAGACGATCAGGAAACAAGTATTTAATATTAAACTGATTCGGAAAAATACTTGTTCCCATTTTCACTAAGCCATAGGGACATATTGCGTAGCGAATCTCAAGAATTTGTGCGAATAAGCTAACAGCTTTCAGTTTAAGTTATTACCAGCCGGAAACTTTTAACCGAAAAACATCAACTTACTCTTCTAGAATAAAATTTATGATCTGCATACAGACATTAGGACCACCATTCCATACAACACATTCACACAAATCACCATCAACACGACGAAGTTCAGACTTTTTGCCCCAAAACTGGCGAAATTCATTACCAGCCGGAGTGTTACTTGGGGGACCTTTGGTGAGGATTGCATGAGTGAGCTGTCCAATATATTTAAGTCCTATGCCATGGAGGTCTTTCTAAAATTACAAAAATGTTCGGAAGTTACTTTTCCTTTTATGCAAACTCTGATGGGACAAACGAGCGATACTCGATCTTTCAAAGCTTCAGTTAAAAGTTGGGATACGATGTTTAGCGTATTTTCATTTGCTTGGTGTCCTAAATCATACCCCTGAACTTCCTTTCTGAGTTTGGACTCGATATAATCAATTTTTCGAAATCTGGAAAAGTAAGGACTGATAATAGGAAACATACATCACCAAGTGATCATAAAAATAGACGCAATCCATGTTGTAAACCTGTACAACACAACTGTTGGGTATATCACTATATCTAAATGTACGGACGTATAGCAATCAGACTTAAGCAGCAAAAGTTCAGGGTTGATAATATGTATATTGGCGAAACAAAACAATCAAATCATGCGGATAGTGGTGTTCAAAGGGCACGCCGTTTTGAAACGCATAATTTTGAAAGGAATTAGAATTGAGGAGTAATTTTCTCGGTGTAATCACAACTCCAAATAATACTTCAGTACTATTTGTTTCAATCACTGTTTAAATTAAGCACATCTTGTATACTAATCACAATACTGCGATTCTTGATACCTTGTCTAAATCTCAGTGTATGTTTGACTTTTTTCTATCATCTTATGAATTTTAAGTCGTACAATTCTGAATATTCTAGAGTCGCGCAATATATTGCCTATGATTGGTGCTACCTTAAGGACTTTATTGGCTGGCGTTAAAAAAAGTTCTGGGTATAAGCTTCACGTTTTCATGTCGTCTAGGTATATCTCAGTCATTAATTTTGCTTGCGTTTCTATTTGTTTATTCGCTCAATTTCTCATACCTTGAAATAGCTTTTATTATGGGATTATCTGAAGGCATGTCTTTTGGTATGTTGTAGTTTTTCTCCCATCACGATTTACTGCCTAACACTCGTAACGTTCGTACAATGATGGAGTGGAATTTTCGCCGTATTAACATTTAAATTCCTTATGTAGGTACATAAAGCGATAGATAAAGAGACATGCCCCTCATCACAGTTATAACAGTGTGAATGATAATGCCCCACTTCACTTGGGTAGATCGCCAAGTCCAAATTGAAAATAATAGTACAGTTTATTCTCACTCATTTTGTACTTGTTATGAATCGAATCTGCTTTTTATGTAGTTGTTGCATCGAAATCATAATCGGTCGACTTTTGCTTGAATTATTTCGGTCAATGTTTAGAATTTTCTTTAAATCCGCTTTGTGGCACTCTTTATCTGGTTAATTAATACACTAATGGTCATCGTTTGCATTTTGCCAGTTCCTTCCCCATAATTTGTCTTGAAATGGTTGGCTTTACTCACAAGTGTGAACAAGAAAACTACTTCCTTCTTCTGGAGGGAGGAACGCAATATGATGAGTTCAAAAAGTGGTTCCACAAGATGTACAACCGTTTAAATCCCGAAATATAATCGAAACCTGAAGCTCACTGAACTCGCATGTTTCGTTGTTCGACTAGGAAACTACTGATCCGAGAGGTAATTAGCCTTCTAACGCTGTCCAGCAATATAATTGATGAGGGCTGGTTATATTAGCACTGACGATGGAGAATGTCAGAGTTGTAAGTGCTGTTTTAGGACGAGCCAACCACTCGACTGCGTGACATACAAAATAGGAGGCTCTTTTGAAACCAATAAAGGGCAAAAAACCACTGGCTATTGGTGACCACAATCCCAAAGTATTACCTAAAGGCCAAGAAATAACCGTCACCATCCCCAGTTGTACCTATGAGGTATTACTGTCTGATTGGAGATGGACACAAAGAAGAGAAAATCAAATAACCACAAACCGCGTCCGTTTGGTTGATAAACTTTTGGCGGACTCAATCTGAGTCACTGAATACCTTGCTAAAGCCCCTAGGTAAGATGAGACCTAACCCAGTCGCGGTTGGAAAAAGTTTGTCATCATCGAACATTACTCTGCGCAAGACGCTTGGATCGAACGACGTTGTTCCAAAAAAGACTAAAGAAAAGCTCTCAGTAGTTAACAAGCAGGAAATGAACAACACAATCGAAAGCTATGAACACAACTTTCAAAAACGTAAAGTTCGTTCTTCATTTAATGATTTGGAATCTGAAGGTTGTTTTAGTTACGCCGGTAAACTCTCATCTGGATTCTCCATCGAAATCTGCCCTTTGTGGGATAGAGAAGCCAGGTCATCTGCGAGGTTCAATTCATCTAGCTGCATGCAAGCTGTCCATTGTAGACCAGGTATACCCTGGGGCGCAGAGGTCTTCACAACCCAGTCAACCGCGAGAAGCCTTGTCTGACACCGGCCCTCGCTTGAACTACATCTGCTAGTTGCCCTCCACGCTTGACTTTGCAATGCGGCTCTCCTCACAAGTTTCGTATGATGTCGGCAATCATCTCAGGTTCTCCATAGTATTAAAGAACGTTCCACAATGTCTGTGTTTGATCGCTCCTTACGGAATCTGACCTGTTAATCTCGAAGTTAGGTGTCTACTAAATCTTTCACTTGGTTCAACAACACTCCGTTAAAAACTTACTTGCACTGATAGTATTATGATGTTTCCGCAGTTCCCACTTTCTGAGATCTCCTTTCACTGACATCTTGAATAGGTATCCCTCTATCAATCTGCAGGCGTTTGTTCTTCTCCCCAAATCTTTTTGAACTGAATGCAGAACAACTTCGAGGTTACTCTTATGACTGACTTCAGTGATATTCCCGGTGAGCTATCTGATCTTGCTGCTTTTCCGTCCTTGATCTGTCTGATGGTCTTGTCGATTTCATCAATTGTTCACCATGTAACATCTATAGAAATGTCTGTAGATGCTGCTTCGAAGTCGGATGGGTTCAATGGGGTTTTCAAATTGCTCAACCCACCTGTGTAAGAAGTATGCTCTGAGCGACGCAAAAGTAAACTAATCCACTGACTGTTGAACGCGGAATCTTAGTTTGGTCAAAGTCAGAGCAAGTGAGCTATTAGGCTCGATTAACTATACATGTTTCGAAAAGGTGAAATAACGGCGTTAGTAAACGAAAGTAATTAGTAAACTGTATTAACATGGAAAAAGAGCACCACAAATAACATATTGAATGGTAGCCAGAGGATAGGAAAAATGATCCAACTAAACTTAATATCGTCTACGATAGACAAGAAAGAGCGGATTGGCGGATAAAAAAGTCATGATCATACAGGATCAAAGAGAGTCAGTTTGGTGGTTAGCATTTAATATTGTCATTGGTGGGTTCGTTTATCGATCACGCCTTAACACCATTTTTGCTGTTTCTAAATCTCAGTGATTGCCTTGCCTTTTACTGGTTGCCCAGGTTTACAATATTTCCCCGCTAGTTTCTTCGTTGTATTGTAAAGGTATTGGTTCTTAACCGCGCGATCTTTAAAGCTGAGTGTGCAATTATTAAGAAGATTCACTCTCAACATGTAACACTATATAAAGGTTGAAGATGGTGGGCGCGGAAACAATGAATCAAAATGGTATGGTTGGGTCATCCATACATGTTCACTCTTAATGACCTCTTACTTTCCGTGTCAAATACATTACTCTCTTCGCAGCTCTAATGTGTTCATCAGAAATATTAGACGTCGTACTGCTGGTTTCAGGTAGGACAAGTCAGTATGGACAATGATGACACTGTAGCGTGGTGTCGAGTTGAGCTGAACTATGAACACCGCTACCAGACTACTTGCCAATAGACCAATAAAATTCCGGTAGGCCAAAATATCAGAAGGCAGATGATTGTAGTAGTCGTATATATTTGTTGGCGATCTCGTGGTATCGAAAGAATACCGAGATCGTGCCAAAGGAGTACAGTTGCGAACGGCAAGATAAGATACGTGCGTAGTCCAAAAACCGCGTAAAAGCAATGGAATACAATGGAAGCCCAAAATGGCTGTTATTAGCACAGTTAAACAAACGAGCACAGTAATACAGTCACTGGTACAATTGGTTATAATAATAATTGTTTTCATCGAACCAATCGTGTTCTGTTGACAAAAGTAGGTCACTACAGGAGCCCCCCGCTAGAAAGGGTTTACACTTTCGATAGTTAGCGGTTTGATTCTTGGGACTGATCGGCAGAATTGCGGTTGTAGGACGGAGGAAATTGGCGGAACAGGAAGTGATCATTGATCCTCGAGTTGCCAACGAAAGTATTTTGCGCAGAACGGTACCAGGAGAAGTGTGCTGTATTTGTTGGTCGAGTTAGCATACCACACCAGAGTGGTTTGTATCCAGAATCTGATGATTGCGTTCGTAGGGATGTGAACCAGAAAACGCTGCAGACGTAGGACGAAACCACGTTGAGCCAAGAAACCGGACGCGACCATAACGACCAAGCATATGCCAGGCGAATTCGAGACCAGATAATCGACTGAGTGCGTTGACTAGAGCGTGGGTGGCCAAACCAGCTTTCGCCAAAGTTGACTGAAGTCGACGTTATCAAATGGACGATGGTCGTAGGCGTGGGCTCAGGATACAAAAAAAAATCAAAAAAAAGAAAAGTGTAGCATGCGTGTAGTATAGGAATAATCCTACACCGTATCCGTTATTGACTGTGCGTTTAGTCGCGAAAGCGTACGGGTAATCGTACTCGGCGACCGGAACGTGAGACGGTAGTCTCGTTCGTGCTTCGTGAGCCTGCGATCTCATCCGAGGTCAAGGGCGGCGTGGTCTGCCGATCTGGACGTGAGACGGAAGTCTCGTCCGTAGATGGTGCAGATGACGCGTGCTGTTGACCGGGACGTGAGAACGAGGTCTCTGATGTATCTAGCGTGGGATCCGAGATAGACGTAGAGATCCCGCTAGAAGGTTTGATAGGTCTAGCATTGAGTCTCAAGTTATCGGGTAGGGCACTGTCATCGACGTGTGCTGGTTTGAGACGATCAATGCTGACGATCTCGACGCGGCCATGTCGATCGACCTTGAAGGTCTTTTCGTGACGAGAGATCACGTGAAAAGGGCCTTCGTAAGGCTGTTGTAGAGGTTTGCGTACCGAATCTACTCGTATGAAAACATGTGAACAGGTAGATAACTCTCGAGGCAGAGCGACCTGTCGATGTTGTATTCGAGTTGACACCGGAGACAGCGTTCGCATAAATGCAGACAGTCGATGGACGTAGTCTGATTTACCGAAATCATTACTGCTCCGTGGTGTGAAGAATTCCCCAGGCAGACGCAATGTCGTGCCGTATACAAGTTCAGCGGCGGAACATTGGATATCTGCCTTCAAACTCGTTCTGATGCCTAAGAGAACGAGCGGTAAGGTTTCGTACCAATTGTCGTTTCCGTGTGCTCGGAGAGCACTTTTAAGTTGGCGATGAAACCGTTCGACTAAACCATTCGATGCTGGATGGTAGGCGGTGGTGCGTATGCGTTCCGTACCAAGCAGCCGGGTCAGTGAGGAGAATAATGCGGACTCAAATTGTTGTCCTCGGTCAGTCGTGACAGTCGAGGGACAACCGTACAATGCTATCCATCGTTCTACGAAGCGGTGAGCAACTGTCTCCGCCGTGAT